GGTCCTGCTTTGGGCCAACCCTGTTTGGCTGATCATTTACCCACAAGGGGATGGGTAGCTGTGGGTGCTGGATTTGGAAACTATATTCTTTTTTATTTTTTCTATTTCATAATAATTGCATTAAAGTTCTTTTCCACTGAAAGTCTTATGCACTAGAATGTTTTGACTGGATGTGGCAGGAGGCAGTTTTAGGGGTTCCGGGGGAGACCTTCACTCTGCCCTGTAACACCTCGGGTCACTGCTCTGTCAGACATGGGCCCAGGGAGACTTCCTCTACAACCGTCACTTCACAGTCTGGCAACTTGACATGCAAAGCCTCTGGAAAGTTCTCTCCCCACAGTTCTACTGTCTCTGGGAACATCAAGAGAAGGTGGAGAAAGAGGGGTCTGTGGGGTGACCTCAGGATGTATGTTCTTTGCCCTGCCTTGTACAAATCAGCCCGATTGGGGCATAAGCGCCATAAGCACAGACCTTAGCAGGCTGCTGATTGCTGTGTCCCAACGAATTGAGTGTGGCACACAGTAGGTTTTCAATAAATGCTGACAGACTGAATGAGAGACAGACAGACACTGCAGAAGCACACAGAATGGAAAGGTTCCATCTCCTCAACTTTCCACGAGCTCAAGGCCCCCGCACCGGCACAGTACTTAGATGGGGCAGCCGTGTTTGTGGCAGCTTCTGAATGTCAACACACATGTTCTCCGAGAGCCTTGGGACCCTTCCACAGAAGGACTCCTGAGCCATGCTGCCCAGGCCCCAGGCCTACACAGTTTGCTCTGGGAGAGTCTAAGGAACAAGAACCTTGATAGGCAGACATGCTCACACTTTCACTGACTGGAGAGAAGCTTCCTGGGAGGGATTCTCCCAGACCCTGCACTGGGGCCAGCAGATAAAAACCAGAGGTGGTAGGTTTTCCCTGGCTCCCACGGTTCTGGGGCGGGGAGAGCCTGGGGACACCTTAAGAGGCAGGTCGGGGTGCCACAGGGCACAGGCCTGGGCAAGGGAGTCTCTTAAAGACACACAAGAGCATATCCACATGGTCTTCAGAGCTGAACAGAAATGCTTAAACATTTGAAAGAGCAGAAGCCAAGGTTCTAGTTCTAGTCGCAACTGATTTGAAAAAAAATGGTATGAAGTACGGACACATACAGTAGAACATGCTGACGACTGTGATTTCCTTGGATCGTAACTTTGGAAACAAAGCACAACAACTCGTCTGTTCCCAAAATCCATCAGGTTCAGAAAAATCCCCCGCTCCCACTCCATCCAGGCCTTGGCCCCAGAAATTGATATGCCGGCTCAGGCCAATGCTGGGAGTGTGATGCACCCCAAAACCAACCACATTCCCAAGACAGAGGTGGAGAAAGGACTTGGCAGGTGGGCGTGCTGAGTTAATCTGCAGCAGCTGACTTGAGCCGGCGCTCTCACGCCCACTGGTGAGCTCACCTCGCTCCACCGCTTTCCTGTTTCTCAGAGATGCTTGGCCCCCCAGATGCTGCCAATGCTGAGCGCCCCTGAGAACAAAGCTTCGGTGTTCCCAGCCCCCCTTCAAGGATCCCTGCAAGCTGGCAGCTGCTTGCCCTGAGTACAATTTATTCCTTAATTAGTTGCATCTTTCTAGCCCAGGTTCTTTTATGGCTGCTACTCACTCACTGAACCCACAAGTGTAGAAGTCTGCTCTGTGGCAGTCAGGTTCCTGGATCTGTGGGGCTTGTGGGTTTGCTACACAGCAGTTGCAGCCAGCTCCAGCTGGAGTGCCTCCAGTCCTCAGGTGGGCACGGAAAGGGGCTCAGGGCCCAAGAGATGCTGACAGGGCTGGGCTGGGGCTGTATTTTGGTGGTATCTTGGGAAATGCTTTGGGACCCAAGTCCCAGGATGCGTGCAGAACAGAGCCAGACAAGCTGCAAGGAGTGGCGTTGTGGGCAGCTCTGGGAATCATCTCCAAGCCCATGGACTTGGGGGGAGTGGTGGGGTGCAGTGTGCAAGTGAGGCTGGAGGGCAAGGCTGCTTGAGCCATATTAGACCATTTAATTTTATCCTGGGGGTGATGGGAGCCACGGGGCTGACTGCAGGATGATAGAGGGGATGAATGATCAATGAGAGGGTGTGAGGAGGCTGAGAGAACCTGAGCTGAGGGCAGCACAGGGAGAGGGGATGGACGAGTCAGACCTGGCAGGCCTAAGGGATGGAGTGGATGGGGTGGTGGTGAGGACTCAATTACTGACATTTGAGAGACATCCATTAACTTGAGACAGATTGAAAGAGGGAAAGCATCCTGGCAGAGCAAGATAGCAACTAGCATCAACTGAGCACCTACTATATGCCAGGCACTGATGTGAGGTCATTCAGTGTGTCTCATTCACATGGCAAGTGGGACTGGGTATCACCGTCCAGACCCCACCCCAGTATACCAACTATCACAGTCAGGTACTGGCCCAGGTCTGCCTGCAGCTCATTTCCTCTTCCTGTTGCCCCTGCAAGCACCCCCAACACCAACCTGACTGAGACAGTGGCTCCTGGGGTCGGTAGGTCAGGTGTGCTGCCTGGAGGTGGCATCTCCAGGAAAGAGCTGATGATGCTGGTGACAAACAGCATGGAACCCTGACTTGTTACCTGGGCAAATCACTTGATGTTGGGAAGCCCAGTCTAGAAAGCCCAGCTCATCTTAAAGTAGGGGTAACATTGTGGGAGAATGTGGGTAAGGGCACAGAACATGGCAGGTCTCACCGAGTCTCTGGGGAATGCACGCATCAGGTGCTCTCATTCGCTCTCAGCATCTCCTACCTCTGGGGACACCTGATCCCTCAGCCATGGTTTCTCCATGTCCCCCCACTGTCCAGCTGAACTATTGCCACCTGAGGCTGAGAAGGAAGGCTCTGGTTGGGGGAGTCTGATGCTTGGATGTGGCTATTTGACCTTTAGGCACATATTGTCTTTGGTTTCTGACCTTGACAAGTACCATGTATAGCATACAATCTCACCGGGCCACTCTCATCACCTGCTGACACCCTACTCCTCTGTGGGGAACCGAGGAAGGCATGAGGGTCAGGCAGGCCCAGGGGATCAAAATTTGGTGGCATCCTTTTGTCATGCTCCCCTCGGGCATACCCAGGGTGATGGGGACAGCCCCCATGAGAGCTGGCACTGGGGGGACTGCGAGTTCTTTCCGGCAGCCCTCTTGTGGGGAAACAGGACACCCAGGGGGCTCAGGAAACTCAGGAAGTGGCTCCTATAAGTGTGGGATGAGCAGCAAAGTAGGAGTCAGGGAGGGAAAAGGGAAGAGCATCTGGAGAGACTTCCCGGAGGAGGGGGACTCTCCTTCAGGCCTTAGGAAAGTGAGTGGCTTGGCAGGTGCAAAGCTGCTAAGGCAGAGATGTGGTGGCCGGTGGGAGAAAGAAGCCCAGGACAGAGTACTGGTGGCAGTGGGGAGGGTGGCTGAGGGGGGCAAAACACACCCTGAGTCTTACAGCCTGCCTGGTCCCCCAGGACTGCCTGCACCCACTGCACAGCCCAGGAGGCACCAGGACTTCGCCATGGGGCAGGACCCTGCTGTCTGCCCCAGCCCTGCCCCCTGGAGGAGCTGTCTGGTCATGGTGGTGGCTGCCAGCTCATAGGCCTGGCCTGGATCTCTGGATATTTCTGGGCTGGACTCCAGGAGTGGCAGGTGGCATAGCACTGATGGGGGTGAGGAGTGTGTGCTTAAGCTTTACACCCCTGCCTTTCTCCCCAGTAGCTCCATGTTGCTCCAGGGGGCTCATGGTCAGAGGGAGTAGGCATCCCTGTGAAACAGTGGAGGGTGGCAAATAGTGGGAGGGAAGGACTTGGCATCTAATGGGTGACACGACTTCATCTACCCGAAATACTTGCTTTCCTGCCCGGACACATAGGCCCGGGCTGCAGGGCCCTGGGGCCTCAGTGCCTTTCTTTATAACTAAAGCCTATTTCACTTTGGGAGCAAGTCTATGGTTCTACCTTTAAAATCTATGCTTGCTCTGAACTACTCTCAGATCAGCGGGTGGAATGGGAGTCAAGAATAAGTAAGATCTCCTTACTCCTCTGTCTAGCCATCTCCAAGCCCCCCGCCCTCCCTTTCTGAGTTAAAGCCAAATTCTTACCGAGCACTGAGCAGCCTGCAAGACCTGCCCGGATTGCTGACCCCACCCTGTTCCTCACCCTCACGCATGAGGTGATAAACCCACTGGCCTCCTGGCCATTTCTTTTTTCTTTTTTTTAAAGATTTGTTTATTTATGCATACAAGAACTAGGGTGTAAGCCAGAGGTGCGGGTGGTGAGAGGATTCACCAGAGAGAGTGGGGAACAGAACAGGCAGACTGACTGGAATACACTGCCGAGGGGAGCAGCAGGCGAGACAGGAGAGGTCTGCTGCGCCATGTGGGTCACCTCCCTGGCCGGGGATCGAACTTGTGCTGCAGTGACTGCTACCGATAGCTTGACAGTGCTGCTTTAACCCCTGCGCCACCAGGGAGGCCCACTCTCCTGGCCATTTCTTGAGCTTGGCAGGCCCACTGCTGCGCCAGGGGCTTTGTATTTGCTGTTTCCTCTGCCTGGCTCACTCTTGCAGCATATTTCTGCACAGCACAACTCTTTGAAGTCTTTGCTCCCATATTACCTTCCCAGTGATTTCCCATCCAAGATTGCAACCCCACTCCAACCAATATTCCCTACCTTATACTCATCCCTGGCTTTGTCTGTCTCTCCCCACTCTCCTGTAAGTTCCAGGAAGGAAAAGCTGAGTGTATTTTATTCCCTGGGGTGTCTTCAATGTCTAAAACACTTCCTGGCCTGTGGTGACTCAGTAAGTATTTGTGCATGTTGTTCAGAGCCTTGGTCTTTGTCGGCAGCAGGTGTGGCAGGGATGGGGTGAAGCCCAGACTTCCCTGTAGGCCCCTCCACCCTTGAAAGGAGCAACAAGCACCCTCTTCTGCCCGACAAGTTACCTGTCAGCCCCAGGCCCTGTCTAGTTCTCCCCCAGCACTCACCATCCACTGGATTGAGGTAGTCGTGGAGATGGGGTGTGCCAGCAGCACCCCCACTCTGCATCAGCAGGTCCCCGTAGGGTGCAGGGTGGCCCGCCATGAGGGTCATCTGGTGGTAATAGTCTGAGGGGTTGGTTCCTGGCGTGGGGAGACCAAATAGTCCCCTCTCCTTAAGGTGCTCGTGGGCCACTGTGGGCAGGAAAGGAGACAGAGAAGTCGTCACAATCTGGCAGAAAAGGGAAATGCATAAGTGGCCTGAGCAGCCCCCCACAGTACCCTCTAATCCATCCTCTGCCCCTAGGTTGCTTGCCCCCTCCCTTCCATGCTCCAACCATCCGCACGGGGCTGCGGTGAGTGGGTTTCTGTAGATGGAGAGGCCAGGTCTCGCCTCTGCATTCCTTCGTTTCCTCAAAACCATAAACAATTCTCCCTGCTCTCCTGTGGGCCCCACAGAAGCTCTGAGGTCTGGGCCAACAGGGTTCATGGTTCAGTGGAGTCGTCAAAGGAACAAAATGGTGCGTGGCGGCTGGGCAGCTGGGCCAGGCCGCCTGTTCTGAATATTCAAGGTGTGATCGCACACTGACAGCGCTCTGGCCGGCCAGATGAGACTCCTTGCGTGTGCTCCTGCCCTGTCCCTGGGCTGCAGGACTCTGCCGTCTGTCTGCCCCAGCCCTGCACATTGCTCTGTGTAGGGCTTTAGAAAGGGGCAGGGAGGATGAAATTCAGACTGTCTTGAGGAGCTGTGCATTCAGGGGTGTGGTGTCCATGAAAAAACAAAGCTTGGAAACCAAACATAGCCAGAATCCTGGCTTTTGGGGGAGGTCCATCTCTCTTGGCTGGTGCAGTTTTCCATCTGTAAAATGGGGTAATAATACCCACCACTCAGAGTACTATTAAAAATGAGAATAGCAGCCAGCAATGCACTGATTGTGCTGAATGCACACTCTGTGCAGAATTCACACTCATTCCCTTGAGTGTGACTACCACCACAATGTAGTGTGAATTTGACTACCACCACAATGAGTCCAGGGAAACCATCACCAGTGCCCCCAGCAGGTGGGGGCTCTGCTCCCAGAGTTCAAGTCCTGCCTAAGGTTACACAGAGGAGGGTGAGGTTGCTGGGGCGGGACCCACAGTATAATCTGGAGTTCTTGACCACTCTGTTTTAGGGCCTGTCATTAACCTTGGCAAATGCCAAAGTAGCGCTCATGTGCTTGGCAGACAGAGCAGCCAATCAATAGGATCGTGGTCCTCCCACCTCCTGATATCCTCTACTGTCAGCCCTGGCTTCCACAGGCTGATGGCCCAGGGTCTCTATCCGACTATGTGACAAGACACTGTCAGATCACTGAAGAACTTTCCAGGCCTCATGTGGGCAGGCGTGGGGCTGGCACAGCCAATAGAAGCAGTTGTATGAGGTTGATATGCCCTCTCTAGTTACTCAGGAGCCTGGCCCAGGGCCACTGAGGTTTCTGGTCCATCCCCTGCAGGTGTCAAGGCCATGCAAGGTAGCCAAGTTCCCTCTGGTGCCAAATCATAGGGCTGCCTCATGGGGTTGGGTACTCAGGGGACCTAGGCAGAATTCCGAGCTGGGTTCCAACACAAAGGGCCATTTCAGAATGGTCATGCTCTGGCCAGCCACTCTCAAGTCCTGTGGCTGTGACCATTCACCTTGTCAGGTTTCTCTCGGTGAAGAGCAGGCAGAGAGCAAAGCTCACAGGCGGGAGGATAACCCAGTGCTTCGGGGCGCCCTTCTATACATTTGGAGGCTGAAGCTCTTTACATTGTGAAACTCTGGCCTGACACTTGTCAGATCCAGGCTTGGTTCAGCTCATGGTCACATGCACACGTTGGGAAGACACAGCCCCTCATGAGGATGGAGATGCTGGTGAGGGTCCTAGAGCAGAGTGTCCCTGAAGTCTCTGCCCACAGGTTCACGAGTGTACGTTGCGAACTGTACATGTGAATTGAAACTGGGCTCAGAAGGAAGGGTTCAGAAGGCAGATGTTGAGAAGAGACAGCTGGCTGCTTTTGAAGGTGGCAATGATGAGAGGCTAAGGGGACACTCTGGGGAGTCCCATGGGACAGTGGGTAAGGGCTACTCCAAGCTGGGGGTGGTGGACATCCCAGGAAGACATGAGTAGAACTGCCTCCCAGTAGTGCTCACTCCCGTTCAGTGTGAGCATGCATGGACATGCACATGTCTACATGTCTACATGTCAGTGGGGTGGGGGCAGGGCTGGCATTTTAGATCCCCATAGCCATCTGTAATCTTTTCTGGCTCACATTAATTGGACTGGAGTGGCGCTCTGGTCGTGGAGCTGAGCTAGTCAATTCCCTCTCAGGCATCTGACCTGGGAGACACAGAGCTGCTGGTGTGCATCTCTGGAGTCCTGGATGGGAAAAACAGGTGGACTCGAAATTCTCTGGGCTTTCAACATTCATTTATTTAAGAACCTTTGTAGTTCAGGGGTGGTGGGAAGAAACAGCAGCCTGCTCCCCATCCCTGGGGCTAGGGAATCAATAGTGTTAGTTAACAGGTCAGCTCCTCCAACCCAACACCCCAACACTTCTAACCCCCACCCGCCACACCCCCAGGCCACCCCAGGCCCTACTTACCCTCAGCGGGACTGAGGCCCCTGGCTGCCGAGATTGTGGGGAGCGTGGGGCTGCTGTGCATGGCACGGAGGTAATGCTCCATGTGGGGGCTCACGTACGGGTGGGGGGCGTTGAAGGGAGACTCCCCAGGGCCGGCGGGGTGTGGGGAAAGCCGGATCAATGAGATGTCAGAGATGACAGGGCTGCTGCTCAGGGCAGGAGGCCTGCAGAGACAGAGAGGAATGGTCTAGAAGGCATGGCGAACTGGAGGAGGACGCGCAGGGACCCCCTGTAGAAGCAGCAGCAGACAGGCAACCTCACTTGGTATTTTATACACCAACAGCCTGGCCACCCTTCCCACAGAGTCTGAGCTCTCACACAGGCAGGCTGGATATCCCCGTGTGCTGCGCTGCCAGCCACCCACCCGCCAGCCTTTGGAGCTGTCACAACCACTGCTTCCGCGGCGCCTGCTCAGGCCGGACACATGGCAAGAACAAATAAACTTTTGTTAAACGAACAAATGCAGCATGTCCTAAACATGCATGGAAAACAAAACACAAAAATACGGACACCTGGGGTGAGAGGCAGAGTTCATGTCCCCAACAGAACCGAGAAAAAGAGGAGTCAGGTGATTTTGGCTGCAGCTGGACAATCACTCGTGTGAAGCTCGTGGTCACGGGTAAGGTGGGGAGGGAAAGTTTAGGATTCAGGAAGGGATGAACCCCAACTAAAATTTTGGACTATCACTCTAGCGCCTTGTACATGGAGGCCCTTCTGAATCTGACAGGGCCTCTCTCCTGTCCTCATCAATGGTCAGCATGCCCTGGCTTTGTCGCTCTGACCGGGGCTGCTGTGGCTGAGGCCTATCTCCATGTCCCATGTCCGGTCGGTTCGGGGGGTACCAGCTCTGCTCAACCCCCCCCCCCTCAAGGATGGCGCCTTATTTCCATGTCTGTCACGCAGGGCTCCCTGAGCAGCTGTTTGCACGTTGCTTCAGGGATGTCCTGAGGTTATCTACTCCAAAATACGCCCACCAAAGAAAAATCAGACTTCAGGGGGAAGGAGCTAGGACCCCAGACCTAAGTCCCGGGGAACCAAATTTACCAAGATTGAATTTTCCATTTTTTCAGAAAATAGGGTCTCTTTGGGATTGGACATAGTGCAAAGAATAGAGTGTGTGCTAGACTCAGACCCTTCCCCTTGACAGCTCAGTCACACTGGGCGAGGCATTTCCCTCTCCAAGTCTCGGTTTCCTCATCTATAAAATGGGGACAATAGTGTCCATTAATTACATAGAATTCCCATAAAGAGGAAGCTCCCCAAATAGTGCCTGAGACACAGCCACAGTCAGTGCCTGAGAGCTGCTCTTACAGCACCAGCACCACATCCAAGTGCCCGAGGGGCCCTGGAAATCTTCACGTGCAACAGATGTTGGATTGTGAAGAGGTACCGTTAGCGCCGGTTACTTCAGAAAGGGAGTGATTTGTCTGTTGACTGGAGCAAACTGGAGATAATTACTGATTATGCTCAACAGCGCAGGGAACGGTGCTTCCAGCACAGCGCATGCCAGGATCCTCACAGGTGACAGCCAGCTGTCTCACGAGCTGGGCTCTGTAGAGTCCCCATCGGAAGTTGCTCCTCCCATTGAGTGGAAGCCTTCGGCGCCATTCTTTTCTAGCTTTGCAGATGTGGCTGCTTTAGACCCGCAGCTCCAAAAAATCTACCAGATCACTTCCATACCACTGGGCATGCCCACGCTAACTCTTGGCCTTAAATGTGCTTATTGGGCAAATTCCTTCTCTTGCTGCAAGCCCGGGTGAGGAAATCCACTTAGTGCGATCCCCTGAGGCATCTTCTCCTGGCTGGGGCTCCCTGCTCTCTTCTCTCTGCTCCCGCCTGGGTACTTCTGGCCTTAGGTTGGCCGCTCCATCTCCCGGGTAACTGGGTTCTGCCTGGGAGCAGGGCAGGTCTGAGGCAACTCTCCATTCTGGCAGCACCAGGGAACTGGCATCCTGCAGGTACTTAGAGGTGTTTTCAGAGTCAGTGACAGCAGCACATCTGTGTGTCCGGCACTGGACTTGGCACAGGGAGCCTTTGGAAGGAAATCATGGGTCATGTCCTCAAGCTGTTCTCACTTATGGCTGCCTTTAGAGGTAAGTGGGAGGGAACTGTGTTCTGTGTGAGGGGCTTAGAGATAGCTTTGGTCTGGGTGAGGACTACCATGTGTCCAAGGAGGGGAGAAATGGACCAGACAATTCACCCTCTTTCCAGGTGTTGTGGCCCTAGTATGCTGATCCTGGCAGGCTGGACACTCACATTCCTGTGAGAGGACAGGTGTTTGGTGAAGACAAAACAGACAGAACACCTACGGGCCAGGTCTGTGGGGCAGGGAGACCTCTGTATGACTCCTGGGGACAGATATGGGGTGAGAGGACTCTGGAAGGCTGAGTGTGGCTCAGTAAAAGGCAGGGTATCCAGCTGACTTGGAGAACAGCTGAGACCTGATCTAGGCCCTTGAAGCAGTGCAGGCTCTTGGGTGCACAGGATGCTGGCTGGGTTGAGGAGGGGATTGTTCTGTGCACCCTTGGACCAGTCCTGTGTTGGGCTGATCCATCTCACTTTTTCCTCTGCATTGGGGCAGGGCTGTGGCTTCTCTGAGCCTCCTGCCCGGTCATGCCAAGGGTCCAGGGCAGTGTTCTCTGGCTGGTGGCCCCAGAGTGAGGTTGCCTTGGGTTGAATCCTCGCCTGTGTCTGTCTGGCCACTGAGCAGGGAGGGGTGACTTCCTTCTGTGGACCCAGAGTCCCCATGGGTGAAGTGTGATTATTGGTGCCAGGTTATTGTGTAGCCCCTCACAGGCAGATGGCACACGCTCCCTTCATGGGCCGCTGTTCCAAGGTTAACCAGGCACCTGTGAAGGACCCTGGATCTCCCCACTGAGCCCAGGTCCTGACACAGGAAGGGGGTGCTCTAGCAGAAACTGAAGCACCCTGTTTATCTGGCATGTAGTAAGGAAGCCTGAAGCTGTAGAATCTGGGCCAGGAGCACCCCTCAGTGGATGCAGAACCAAATGTGCTGCTTTGCATATGTGGAGCAGGATTGGATCTGCAGGCTGTTGTGGGGGACTCAGGACCTAGGAACAGTGAGGCAGGAACTGGCTTCTGGGCACTGCCTGCCCCATGGACAGCACAGCTCCCTCACTAATCCTGCTCATCCCCACTCAGTTGGGTGGTTGCCTGGGATGCTGCTCCTTTCCAGCGCCTCACCAGGGTAGTGCAACTGACTAGTGCTGGGCTCGTGGTAAGGTCAACAGGCATTAACTCCTTCCCTTCCTTTTCCTTCTCAGCAACAAGTCAACTTGGGGTGGGGGACCAAAACACAACATGCCCATTAGCCAACACAACCACAAAAGAATGCCCAGACACATCCTCCAGGAAGCCTCTCTGCACTGCACCACTTAGCTGTGTCCTTATTAAGCATCTCCTCAAGATAGCACTGAGTGCACACTAGCCATCAAGAGACCACGTGCATGTATTTATTTCCATCTTTAATAAAAAAAAAAAAAAACAAGCGAGGTAGGCACTTTCTGCCCATTTCACAGATAAGAACACACCCAGCAAGTCGAGGTCCTTTGCCTAAGGTCACTCAGCAGATAAGAGAGCCATATTCAACTCAGGGGAGTCTAGGCCTGAGCGCATGCTGAGATCATTCCCTCAGCAGAGAAATGGGTGTTCTTGATGATGGTGATTATTTATTTATTTATTTATTTTTAAAAGATCTATTTATTTATGCATACAAAAGCTGGGGTCTAGGCCAGAGGTGCTGGGGGCAGGGAACAGGGTGGGGGGAGCTGAAATGATTCACCAGAGACAGAGTGGGGAGCAGAACAGGTGGATCAACTGAAATCCACTGCTGAGGGGAGCAGCAGGCAAGACAGGAAAGGTCTGCTGTGCCATGTGGGTCACCTCCCAGGCAGGCTGGGGAATTGAACTTGTGCTGCAGTGCCTGGCGATAGCTTGATAGTGCTGTCTTTAACCCCTGTGCCACCAGGGAGACCCCGATGATGATGATTATTTATAAGTGGGGCTCAGGTAGGTACAGGATGAGGAAGGGGGCAGCACCCAAGACCAGAACAGTGTTCTCTCCACCCTGTTTCAGCTCTCTTTTTTGTCTTCATCCCCACTCTCACCTCATCATCACACACAACCCCATCCAGCCTTCAAGCCTGAATTGGAACCTCTATCTTGCACTGTTGTGAATGACTGATAAGGATCCAGGGGCATAAATGTCCCAAGAGATCATTTTGACAGACCAAGTAAAACCAAGACAATGAATAGTAAATGGAAAATTCCAAAGTTAATGCATTTGGAAGACCAGGGGGCTTCCCAGAAACCCTGACATCACACCAACATTGCCCGCCTACGGTCCTTGAGTGCCCAAAGCTTCCTTCTCTTGGATGCTTGCCTCATCTCTGAGCCCAACTGTGCATCCCCAAGCAGATGGGTGCTGGCAGTGCTGGTGAACTGATGAGCAGCCATGGGTTCTCACCAGGAGAAGGGCCTGCTAGGGAAATCCGAGCCACTATTTCAGTCCAAACCCCAGCAACAAACTCCCTTTCTTCTGCCATTTCTATGCTATTGGCTGAGTGAGCTTCATCCTGGTTCTGGTTGTGGCCAATTCAGGTCTTGGATTCTAGCAACTGGGAAGAAACTCAAGGAGGTGGCCTTGAGAATGGGAGGAAGGCCCAGCTGTGTGAGTTCATTTAAAAAGGTGGTCAGTGTTTCCAACATGGTAGATAAGCATGCATGCATACTTACAAACTTGGAGGCCGTAACCAATTAGATTGGAGGAGTTGGCTTTCATGCAAGCTGTTCACGTTGCACACTACTTTTATGCATTATCTTCCTCCTTCAATCCAGCTCTGAGCTCATCCAAGCTTGATTCTACCAATTATTTCTTCATATGTGTGTTCAAATTCCCAATAAAATTGTCCCAAGCACTCACTCTGTTCCTAGAGACCTGTAGGGAGCTCAGAACCCAAATGGCACAGGCAGACCTATAAATCATATAAGTAGTTAAGACTCCAGCAGATGAATAAATATCCTAACTCCGCCAGTAAGTAAGAGGGAAGGCTTCTCAGAGGAGGTAACATGTGGGTTGGGTTCTGTAGGTTAAACAGGAGTTCATGAAGAAGTGCATTACATAATGGCACATATTAAAAAAAAC